TTACCAGGGAGTGCAACTAAAAACTTGAGACTTTGAATGCACCGGATATTTTCTCTAATCCCTTAGACCGCTGCAGGGAGGAAGTTCTGTCTTTGGGCCGTGACAGGAGTGAGAAAGTGGGAGCAAACAGAGCAGGCAAGAACTGGCACCTGTCACCTTTGCTCACCTCTACTCTGGGCCTGAGGAGAAGCTTGTGCTGTGGCCAATACCAGTCCTCTTCTGCCCTGCTGTGATGTCCCTGGACATACTGTCCGTTCAGTGACTGGCCACTAAAGACTGTTTCACTGCATTCAGAGTGAAACAGTCTAGTGACAACCTGTAAGCAAGTCAAGCACAAAAGAGTACTGTATGTGAAACTTAAGAGATTTTTAAAAATCTAGCCTGAATTTTCTATAACCTTCTTGGCTGGACACTTGGCCTCTGCTTGCATACTTTTGGAGATGATGAACTCACTACTGCATGAGCATTCCTTTTTATTTGCTGTCCTGTTTTATTTTTAACATGAGCAGAAACCTGCTTTCCTATGCTCTAAATCATTGGTCTATGCCATTTCCTCTGAGAGCACAAAGAATAAATCCAGCGCTTCTCTCTTTAGCATTTGGAAAGTCTCCAAACAGCTCTTGTGTCTCTGAAATCTCCTCCTCTGGGATAAAGTGTTCCATCCTTCAGCCACAGCCCATTTGACAAGGTGTCCAGAGGGATGGTCCCAACTCATCCTTCCCACTTGCATTCACTTGGACGGACACAAGTTGGCCAGCATCCACCTTCAGATGCAGTGTCTAGATTGGGCTTGCGAGGCCATCTGAGCTGCAGAACTCTCCTGCCATTGCTGTTCTCTCTGTGCTGACACCAACACTGCCTGTGTGGCTGGCTCTTCCTGTCAGCCACATTTCCATTCAGTTTCTTCCCCACTCACTGTCACCACCTTGTGTAATTTTCTTCATTTTCTCATTCATGCATTTGCTGATTTGTGTCTTGTCTGTCTCCCCCTTTGTGTACTCTGGGGATGAGGGTGAGGGACTCTGGATCCAGTGCTCAGGACACAGCTCAGCAGATAGAGGCTCTCAGCACCCCTTTTCCCTTTTAAGCAAAGTGGTGAAGTCAGTTTGAATTCTGCAGTCAGATTCCAGAGCCTGCGTCCTGAACTGTTATGCATCTTGTTCCCACTCCATGACTTACTTAACTGTGCTTTGCACATACAGCGTTCCTGCCCGCCCACTCATTAGATTCTGCATCCGCACACCTTTGCCTCTGTGGGCCCTAGCCTGGCAGGGGTCCCAGCAGGTGCAGCTGTCTGTGACTCAGGCCCCCGGAAGGCCAAGTGTGGCCATTAGGTGGTGCTGTGGGGAAGGGGAAAGTGGCCCCAGTGGCTTCTAAAAGAGGGCAGTTTGGCTGTGACACTGGCTGGGGAAGAGGTGATGGGGAGACTGAGACGAGAAGGCCCTGCCATCCACAAAGCCCACCTCTTCTGCCAGCCAGCTCCAGGGCCGAGGCGGGTGTCTGCGGGAGAGAAAGAAGGGCCAAAGTGGAAAAGCTCCAACTTGCTGCCCAGGGTCCAGCGGTCCCAGGGCTGATGGCGGTGGGGAGGGGGACACTGAGGACTTCCCCCCACATTGCTTGCCTCCCATGCCTGCCTATACAGGACTGTTCTGGTGCCTGCCTGCTGGTTAGTGTCCCCCGCCTAACACCCCCCCCCACATGCACGCACACGCTGAAAGGGGGAATACTGATAGGACAGGCACCAGCCACTAACCCTTCTTGGTTCTCAGTTTTCCTAGGAGTCTCTTGGGCTGTAAATTCCTCCAGAACGGAGAGCCTGTTCTGCTTTTCCTCCGTGTTCCCACCACACCAGGCATCATGTCTCACACACTTAGGTACATGATTAGGACAATTGGCCATCCCAGTTTATCCCGAACTGAATGGGTTTCCAGGATGCAGGACTTCTGGGGTCCCGGCCAAATCAAGATGAGCTGGTTGCTTTATCAATATGAGGCCTCTCAGGCAATCCCCGAGGCTTGAATCCCCCTTTATCTCTGCCCCAGAGGTTGTGCCGTTTGGCTGACTGTGAGGCTATTCTGGATCTCCATGTGGTTTGCCCTGTGAAGTCAGGCACAGAGCTCAGTATGGCCCAAGGGCTGTCATCTGGAGCTCTCATGAGGACAGGAGATGTGTGTCTTCATACAGGGGCAGCTGTGATGGGACCATAGACCCCTCGGACAAATCTCAGTGCATGAAGCCAAGTGACAGGCTAAGGGCCTTCCTGCATACTTAGAAAACAGAGCTGGCATCATGGAAAGCTTTCTGGAGTTGCTTCATGAGTCAGCAGACTGTGTGAAGGGGTGGAGGGATCCTGGGTGGAGAGAGGAAGGTACAGGCAGAAAGGAGGCTGTGATGGGTTTTCAGGTAGGAAAACAGGCAGGTCACTTAGACACAGAAGAGAAAGGGTATCCAGAGGACACAGAATAAAGGGACAAAGGCTGGGAAAACCCTCAGCAGAGAAGGCTGGGTTTGCAAGGCAGTGAGGAATTACCATAAGGTGCTACTCAAGACTGGAGTATGTGGCCACTGAAAGCATACTACAACTCCGAATCTGGAGGGGCCACTTCCTATCACTCACCTGTCTTGTTTTTTAGCTTCGAGCTGTGTTCATACACTCTGCTGGTCCCTAGGAATTTGACTGTCCTAAGAAGTTCCCCAGGAGTGTTCCAGAGACCAGTCAACTTCCTGTCTCCTGACCTTGGGGTCAGAACTTTTGGATCTCCCATTCCCTGGCAGGGTCCCTCCCTCCGAGTCCCAGCTCTGCCCAGGAGTTGGGGTTGCAGGAGTCTTAGAGTAAAGGGCGCTGGGAGAACTGTCCACCGCCCTCTCATTTGCACACCTCCATGTCATGGGACACAGAGTGTATCAGACAGCTCTTGCGACCGTCAAACAGATCTCAGAATGTTCTCAAGCTACGACAAAAATTCGTAATTTCTGTCCTTAGATCTAACTCTGTGCTTTGGTGGTTCACATTCATTCCTCTTAAAGACATTTAAAATATTTGAGGACAATCTTCCTGCTTTCTAGGGTATTTTCTTCCCTAGACTAAATATAAAAGTTTCTGATATGAAAATCCTTGAGGCCACTGCTCTACTGGTCTACCCCTCATCCCCAAACCACCATGAATCTCCAGTGTTGGGCACAGCACCTTAGCACAGGGGCTTCCCCACAGGTATATATTGAATGAATGGCCAAATCTGTATCACCCTCCTTTGAGCTTCCTTCTTGGTATGTAGAGCCCAAGGCCCACTATTGTCACTTACTGAGTTAACTGTCAACTAGAATCCATGACATCTGTCATTCTGCTCGGTAGTGCCCTTTCCTTCTTTCTGAAAGGCTGAAGTCCAGACACAAAACTGCTGGGGAAGTCTGGCTGCTGTGTGCATGGTTCTAGCTGATGCCCGGTCTCAGGGTTTTGTGGCCATGGTCTGCATCTGTGTCATTAGGGGCCGGGCTCCAGGAGCAGCACCTCAGAGGCGGTGTGGCAGTTCCCATGACACCTGGACGAAGGTCTGCTGGCTGCTTGATGTTGCTCTCTTACCTGCAGTCTGCAGGCTTGTCACCGTCTCATCTGCCGAGGCCTCCTCAGTAATCACCAGCTTGTCCCTCTGTCTGATACGCTGGGCTCGCCCTCTCATTAGCCCTGGACTGCCTCTTGATGTCTGGGTATCTGATCTTGGACTCCAACTTGTGCTTGTCTTTAAGAGTAGAGAACAAAGATGTTTCTTGGGTTTGAGCCAAGGCAGAGAAGTTTCTGTGTGCTTCCCTCAGCCCAACAGAAGTGCACATATGGGGACACTCCCTGAACCTCCTCAGGGTGCAGCCCTAGGGAGCAACTGGACCATGATGAGCACCTGGGTTTATTCCAAAGTTGGACGTGGATGAGAAGGTCTATTCCACCCAGCTGGGGAGGCAAGCAGGCTAGAATTCAGGTGTCTAGAGATGTTCAGGGACTTGAGATGTCCAGGAAGCTTTTGGAAAGATGCATGGCCTGCAGAAAAGGTAGCTCCTACCTCTGCATAGGGACATCAACCACCTTTTTTCACCAGCGTCTCTCCAGAACCTGGCAGGCGTGAAGCCTGGCACTTGGCAAGTGGTCAGGCAGCACTTGTTGGATGGGGGAGTGAACTAATGAGAAGAAGATGGGTTCTAGAAATTTCTTCTGAGTACCACGTGCACTTTTGTCAGGTGGATGGGAGTTCTCTGCAGTAATTAGAATGACTTGAGTTAGAATCCTGACTTCATCACTAACTGGCTTTATGAGACCAGACAGGGACAGCTGAACTCCCTAAAGCTGCTGCTAGGATTCCCTTAAGAGAATGGTCATAGAACTCAGGGCCTGGCCCGCGAACTGCGGACTCAATGAGTATGTAATGGTTCTGTATATCTTGTCTCTTGAAGCCTTACCCAAATTATGCTACAGTTCTATCCTATCCTAGGACATCTTTATGATTGAGAGTCCAGTGTGATTCCAGTGCCCAAGTCCCTCACTTTAGCCAACAGATGAGACATGGGCCCTTCAGGGGGTGGGGTCTTTTTATCATACTGACTGAGTAGGCAGAGTGCCAGGAGAACTGATAAGCTCTGCCTCCCCTCAGGATGCTGACTCTTGTCACAGCTTGCTCTGGGCCCCGGGCAGAGCTCAGGATGCTGCTGAGGAAGCAGCCTTTAGACCTTTCATGTCAGTGCTGTCCCTCTGTGGCCCTTCCACATGATTCAAGTGCCCACCCCATATTTTCTCCACAGGTAGAAAAGCACTGGGGCATGGCCAGTGTAGCCAGGTTGCCTGGCTTTCCTGAAATGGCCAGATGACAGGGCTGACAATTTTGGCTCTTGACTCTGGGTTTATCTCTGAGGCATGTTTAGTTCTTCCCTCCGACATCGATGCTATGTTTCTAGGTGTGATGGGTTGATTTAGGATATCTTTAACACAATGTCCCTCTTCCTCATTTCAGTCTTTTCCTCTGGAAAGCGACATTGAAAGAGGAGAGATTCCGTAGTGGAAAGGACCTGCAGCTGACTGCATGTGAGCAGTCCCAGCCTCCTGCTGCGTGTTCTGATGTGTAAAGTGTGTGCCTGGTTGAGCCTGCCAAGGCTGTGAGTGGGGTGTCCAGAGGACCTGAAGGAGGCCCTTTCCATGTCGGTGTTCTGTGCACCTGTGAGGTCTGCTTTTATTCCTGCTTAAGATCCCCTCCCCACAGGAGAAAATAATCAGCACAGGACAGCAGGTGTTCGGGTGGTGGGGAGGACAGAACACGCGCCATGTCAGGTATCAGCCTCAGGATCGGCTTTATTATGTGTTTTACCTTCACCGGGGAGAAGAAGGTGAGGAAGCTGGAGCGCAGGCCAGCTTGTATCCCAGAGACACAAATCACATCTCTACAGAGGGCACATGGTGACCAGGAGGGGCCCCAGAAAGACCAGCTACGCAGCACAAAGATTGACAAAGACCCCAACGTCCCATCTTGTATTTCCTTGTTGGCTGTTTGAATTCAGTCCTTCACATAATTTTCTTTCATTTTTAAAAAGCACACTCAACATTACAGTGTCCAACCATTGTCTCTGTTAGGGCCAGAGAGAAAACTACCCAATTTTTGATGTTTGCACCCTAACCAACCTCTTCTTAACTCACGATTGTGGTGGTGATGACACGCAAAACGTCCATCAGAGTCAGGTTGCTGTGAGGCTTGAATGAGGCCCTGACACTAGAAGATGCATGAAGGCACCCTTCCTTGTTGCTTACCAAGGGCTAGGAAGAATTTGCCCCACGGGAGCTGTGTTAGGCTTTGGTGTTCTTGATAACCACACCATTCCTACATTTGATAGTTTCCACCAGGCTGCTGAGAACAATACTTACTCATGGAGGTTGATGACATACAGGGAGAACTGTCTTCAGAGACACAGACCCAGTCCTGGAGTATGGAGGAAGCCAAGAGGCAAGAGGGTACATTGCACACAGAGGAGGAGGTCACCGAGTGGGGGCTGGGATTGGGTTTTCAACCGTTGGCCATCTTCTTAACCCAGATGGCATATGAGCAGCTACTTCCCCTTGCCAGGGGGTGAACACTTCCCCTGGACTTGCTGTGGGCTCACCTCCACACATTTTGTTTGGGGTGGCTCCTGGCATGGCTCCATCCACTGAGGTAGACATTGGTCTTGGCATGGATCTTGGACTTGTTGTGGGCAGTTTTCTTGGCTTACCTCTGGGCACTGAGAAAGATATACCTCTTGGGCTTGTCCTAGGCCCTTCTCTCGGCAGGCGTCCTGCTGGTGGGGCTTGCACACTTCCTCAGCCTGCGCCTGACACTGCTCTTGGGCCTTTTGAAGACATGATGGGGGCACACATGGCTGCTTGTACTGCTGATCACTGAAGGACATCCTAGAGTGATTTGTAGAACCTGAAACCAACACAAGATTTAAAATGATCTGCAATAAAAATGCCAGCCTGGGAACTGGGGCATGAAGAGTTGAGAGAAGGAAAGGGGGTTATTAATCTTAAGAACTCATTTCTACTTTTTATCCTTTTCTCTTCCTATCCCTCTTCAGCCCTCTCTGACACTCATCTGTAGGGGGAAAGTACTCTCATGGCTTTTCTCTGGACAGCCAGAACCCCCAAATCCTAGGCCCACCATAGCTCTTTTCTTTCTCTTCTCTTTTACTAATCCTTTTGAAAACCAGAAGCAAGAGACTACATAGAATACACAAGGTGGTTAGCAATGCCCAAGAAATGATAAACCTCCTTTAAAAATCAGTAGAAAATATACTAGGAAGAGCAGACCCGTGGTCTCACAAAGATGGAGAAGTAGGGAGAAAGAGGGCACAGATGAGTCCACTCACCTGATCTTCAACAAGATCCAACCAAGGACGTGCACTGTGAGTGCAGCAAGGCAGGGGACTTTTATGTAGTGCCTGGTCTGCCTCCTGCGGGACCGATGGGCCACGTGGGGCTGCAGTCCTGACCGTGGAGTCACCGTAACGAGCTCCCTCTGAAATCACGGACGGCTCGAGTCACTGCTTGGGATGCCTGTCATTCAGCCCATGCTTTGGCCTCTGACTCTTCACCAGACCTCAGCAGGGAGGGGCTCCTCTCAGATCTCTTTCATTAGAGGCGGCAGAAAAAGAATGTTCGTACAGTGTTATCTCAGCCTGTTAAACCACAGGTGGAGGTGTCTTGCCTGCCCAAGCCGGTGCGGGATGTGGTGAGAGATAAGATCCACTTTGCCCATCTCGTCAACGCCAGCGGGAAGACTGTGCCTGAAGTCGGGTCTGTCTGGACCAAGGCTTTGGATGGCCAGGTTAGGACATTCCGATCGGATCCTCTCTGCCGAGCCTAGAAAGTACCATTTCGAGACGCAAGGAAGATGGCTTGTCCTGTGGTTCAAAGTAAATAAGAGGACACATCACTTCTGCTGGACAGTAATATTTCCTGCATGAAGGGCCCCAGGGAACTTGGGGTCCTTTGTCCTCTTGTGTTGGGAAGTGGGGTAGAGTGAGAGGACAGGAAATCTTCATCTTCTCAACCTCGATTTATGACAACTAAAAATGGAGTCCCAGAGTTTTCATGGTGACTGGGAAGACAGGTCACAGCAAGCTTACCCCATCCCCTTGCCTTCTGAAAACCTTTTCTTAGAACTCAGGCCTATAAAAGCCAGATGATGAAAGGAAAACTTGCACAGCAAACACACCCAGCTTCCTGCACCACTAAGTTTTGGTTTACACTGTTAACCTTTTACCTGAGGTTCTTTGGATGTGGGACATAGCTGGATGTAGAGGAAAATGCCATTTGGTATTAGGAAAGAATTAATTATGAAAGAAGCCCCTAGTTCATAAAGTGGCGGCTTTTGCTTCTAATGCTGATCAAATTCCAGGCTCTTTTAAATTGATGGTGCTCCTTCTCTCCTGACCTTGAGGCTAAATTAAATCCTTAACTTGAAGAAGTAGGCTTAGGTAATTTCTAAAGAAAAGTATTGGCTGAAATCAGTAATGCCTTTGAATATTTCTGTAGGTTTTAGATACTGGATAGCTGAAAAGTTTGTAAAAGGTAAGCTAGGTGGCGGAGCACATAGTTGTTTTGGCTTTTAACAGTGGTGCAAGTAGGGTTGGAATAACTGCAGCGTGGGCTCCTTGGTGTCCTGATAGGAGGCAGATGCTGGAGTGTGGAGGGACTTGGAAGACACAGATGTATCTGAAGAGAAACGGTCATTCGGGGAATTTTGGAACTGGGTGATTAGGTGTAGGAGGGGTAGACCCTCCTCTTCTTTTTCCTTCTTTTTGTATCTCCTCTTCCATTTCTTCTCTCCCTCTTTGTATCCTTTGTCTTTTCTGTCGAATGGTGTTTAGGAGACAAATTTTCCTGTATCCCAAGAGGCAAGGAATTCTTCACTGCTGAGTTTATGAATTCATTCTTTCAGTCATTTTCAGCCCTGCTTTAGAAGGGGCTCACAGGCATATGGAGAAGATGGGCAGAGGTCAGCCCTCACACCCCAGAAAATCTCCACTCACTGATTTGCAGAAGAAGGGTATAGAAAGTTGCTGGGGAGAAGACTGTGCTATGCTTACTGGATCATAAGAACTGCTCCAGCAGTGAAAGTGGAAAATGGCATTTCAGGCACCTCTGCAGAAGGAATCTCTGTTAGGAGGCTGTTGGACTACAGAGATGCAGGCAAAATGAAAAGGATTAGGAAAGGGATGGGTGAGAGTTTGGGGAAAGACAGCTTGATTGAGATTTCCAAAAGTTTCTTGAAACGGTGCCCGAGATGACTCTTATCCCACACACATATCTGTGGTTTTGGTTGAGCCCAAGTATAAGAAGACTAAATAGCAATGCACAGAGCAATGGAGAGACTAGGTTGTGTTCTCATGGTAGGTGCTGAACGCAGTTAAATAAAACCCAGCGTTTAGCTTCTTAAAAGGCTTCTGTGTCTATCATTGAATTGATTCATGATAGTGGAATAGTCTTGAAACGGACCCCAAAGTCCTTCTGTGGAAGGGAGTATAAGGACCTCCCAAAGATGTCCATAACGTAATCTCTAGAGTTGTTAAGTGTGTTCGGTTACTTGACAAATGAGAATTAAAGTGGCACAAAAGGTAGTTTATGGAACTAAGTTGCTAATCAGATGACATTAAAGTAGAGAGATTATCCTGGATTATCCAGGTGGGGCCCATATAACCACAGGGATCTTTACAAGTAGAAAGAGGGACAGAAGAGGTTGTGTCTAAAGTGAAAGACTCGACCCTATTGGTGGCTTTAGAGAAGAAAGTAGACCAGGAGCCCAGACTGAAGGTGGTGTCTAGGACCTGGGAAAAGCAAGGAGACAGACAGATGGTCCCACAGAGCCTCCAGAAAGGAATGCAGCCTTATTGGCACTTTGATTTTCGCCCTATGGGATTTGTGTTAAAGACTTCTGGGCTGCAGAACTCTAACACATGTTTTTGTTGTGTTAAGCCACAAAATGTGTGGTTATAACAGCAGTAAGAAGCTGATGTACCTCCACAGTGTCTGACGCTCTTGGGGACTCTGGAGGAGGGAGCTCTCCAGTGAAGCAGTAACTCTCATTGTAGGTTCCAGCGTTTAAGTAGATTCCTGCTTGTCCATATCAGGACCCTTAATCGAAGACTAGCTTTGGGTAAAGGAGACACAGAAAAAGAACTGAACTCAGGCTTCAGGACTGCATCCATTACCTATACTATGTGCAATACTGGATAAGGGGCAGCCTCTCAGAGCCTCAATTTCCTCCTTGTTGAGAAGGTAGAATACTATTTCACAGATTTCTTATGAGGGTTAACTTAGAGAACATAAACACTACCACTTAGGGCAATTGAGCTGCTTGAAGCTTAGTGCAGTCTGAATCAGTTTGGGACTCGTTTCTGCCATAAAGCTTTCCTTGGCTTCTTCACTTCACCCTGTTGTATGGCCTCTGTTCTGCCTCCTGTCTGTTCTGTGACTTCTACTCTCCTGTTCACTGTGCTGCATAGACGGTGCACTGCTCAGAGGCCCAAGTCAGGTACCTGATCTGGCCCTAACAAGATATATGACCTCATACCAGGCCCTGACCTTCTCTGGCCTCAGTTTCATCATCATTAAGACAGGAGAGTTGGGCCTTCAGTAGGGTCCATTGCAGCTCTGACATTCGGTGGCATTGTAAATGTGATCACAGATGATTACCCTAGGTATCTATGTGACCTTGTAAATGTGGCTACATGTGTGTGGAGATGCTTCCTCTTTGATTAGTTTATAATAGACCCATAGGAAGACCCACTCTTCTGTCCTTTGCACGTACCATTGACCCAGCTGGGCAGCTGAGCGAATTTAGGTCTTTGCCTAGCTACACAATGAGAGTGTTTGGGGTCTGAGCCCCGTGAGAATCATCTTCAATGTCCCAGGCACTGGGGCTGTGGCTTGGATCACTTTGAGGAGATTGTCCTACTCCACAGTAGGCCAGGTAACTACAGATGACCGGTGACCATGTAGGCTCTGTGACTATCACCAACCCTCCAGGAAGACTGGGGCTAATCTGATTCAACGCCATCTGACATTTCAGACTTTGGACTTCTGGAGCTGTTATTATTGGGAGCCAGAGAATAATTAGACAGGGTTAGCAGAATAGACTCAGGTCTCTGCTGGATGTTCCACCTAACCTCATTCCCATCAAATAACTATCTCCTTTGATCAGATAATATTTTCCAGATTTCTGTGTTTCATTCATCTGCATAATGTATTGCAGTGGGTCCGATGAAGCTGAAAAGTGCAGACTGTGGCGCATCCCATTTCCTGGGGAGTGTGTGCTTCTAGAGAGCTAACTAAGCTTGTACATTCCTGAGGGAGAGGCCACCGTCTCTCTCCCTTCCTTTCTCAGTGACACAGGGAGTCCGAATCAGAGACTTGGGATGAGCTGTGGATGACAGGCCCTCGGGGCCAGAAGGGACATGAGAGGCCACCTGACTCCACTTCCTCCTTTTGGCCCAGCGTGTTAGGTCCTTGTTCAAGGTCATGTAGTGAGATTGTGTCTGATATGAGCAATAAAACACCTAAAAACATTTAGGAAGCCACTGTATTGGAGATTCTTTATAAGTTTCGAGAAGACAAGGACACAGGTACTAGCCTGTGGTTCCCTTTTTTAATTTTGGTACCAGGGATCGAACTCCGGTCCTTGCGCTTGCGCAGCAGGCGGAGAAACCACTGAGCTAAATCCCCGGCCCTCGCCTGTGGTTCTTAACAGTTTTGGAGACGTGAGAATATTTACCTACACAGAGGCCTTCACATTCAGGGGCCAGGGACCCCATGTTAAGGACCACTAAACACAGACAGTGAGGAGGAAAGGTGTTCCTGAACTGCTAAGGTTTGCTGCTGGGTTACTACCTTTGAATCTGGAGTCTGGCTCTTCTTGGCCTAAATTGGGGTTGGAAATCTAGAATCTTCCCACAAGAAACTCACTGTGACTTTAAGTTGTTTCCTCCCTGGGCCTCAGTTTATTTTAGACTGAGGCTTTATTTTAGACTATTTTAGTTTTTGTTTAGACACTGGAAGTCCTGAGTGCACATCTAGCTCCGATGTTTAGTGATGCAAAAGTCACCTGGCTGGTCCTGGTCCTGTGGGCTTCTTGGGAGTGGGTGGGAGGGAAGCCCCTGCCTCATTCTTTCTGAGGACCCCCCATTTCTCCCTGTAACCCCTGCTTCACACAGCAGATGGTAAGAATTATCTGCTGCACTAGGTGGTGGCATAGGATTCCAAGTAATACCTAGAGACACACTTGGAGTGTTACTGGCATCCTGGTTTTCTGAATTCAGCTTCTCATGCCAGGGGTTTGGCATCAGTTGACTAACATCACCACTCCACTCTTCCCTCTTGGTGATTTTCTTATTCTTTAGGCAAAGAAACTGAGCCTGCTTCTTTCCTTGAAACAAGAAGACCTTCCTGTGCCACTCAGCTGGTTAGTGCAGAGCTAACTTAGAATCCACAGCTGTGTGATGTCAACCCCCTACCCTCAAGTCTTCCAAGATGAGAAACTGCATAGAGGCTGCCCTGGGTGAGGCTGGCAAGTCAGCATCTTGTGTCGCAAAAAGAATGGCCAAGGACAGGACTGTGACCGAGACCAGGGCTGCCTCTCTCAGCTCCACACCCATGTTTAGCACCTGCCCCCTTTTCCCTGAACTGCTGAGTTCTGAGGGTCTCTGTCTGCAGTGGGGCTAAGGAGCACAATGTGCCGGTGTTGGTACAAAGCGGCTTTTTCACCTTTGGAAAAGTGCCCCTAGCTCCAGTGAGCACCCACTCACTTACTATGGATCCTGTGACAGGTATCTTCTCTGAGAGTTTACAGTCTAGGGGAGAGTAAAGTTACAGCTGACCAGAGTGTATGGCAGGCAGCCCAGAAGGGGAGGACATGGAGTACAGACAGGGAAGCTCCTTAGAGCTGGTAACCCCTGAGTTGAGTTAAAGGGTGAGGGTTTGTGCAGGCGGGTCATTCAGAGGGGGCTCGGGGAGGAAGAACGTAGGGGAAAAGCACAGGCCGAGTCCCAAAGCCATAACCCTCTGGACTGCACCAGGCAATGCAGCAGGTATCTGCTCCTGGGCTGAAAAGTTCTTGGCGGAGCAGGAGAGCGGCAAGGCAGCTGCAGAAGGCAGCAGCAGAAGGCAGCAGGTGCTAGATCTTGAGGACTTTTGCACGACAGGTTAGGGCACTTGAGCTGCTGTCTCAAAAGCCGCTTTGTACCAACACCTCTTAAGTGAGTAAGCAATAGATTTAGATCTGAGTTTTATCAATACTCTTTGGCTGGCTTCCCCTGGAAGTAGGGCTGGAGGAAAGTGAGCTTTGTCAAGAGGTTTGAGTGGTGTGAGTGAAAGATGAGGGCTTTCTGGTGGAAAAAAGCCATGAATCCTCAGTCTGAGAAGAACATCGAGAGAGGGAGAGGGAGAGGGAGAGGGAGAGGGAGAGGGAGAGGGAGAAAGGGGGGGGGGGAGAACATAGTTCCAAAGTGAGACATCTGAGGTTTTATGTACCTCGGAGACAACTGAAAATACCCTGGCATGCATTCTATGATGTTTGTATCTTAGAATCTTTGTTTGGCAGATGAGCTACTGCGTTACCTATGAATTTGCTGAGCACCAACAGCTGTGGCGTAGAAGCAGTCATGACTTGCCATCAATAAAGCCCTCCAGAAGGTGCCTCTGTTCGTGTCCCTGGCTGGAACCTCTGGTCATGTGGAAGCAGGATAGGAAAAGCAGGCCTGTCCCAGTGAGCAGTTCCATCTTGCCATGTCCCTGCTTGCCAGTCACAGGAGGAAGTGGCAGTTGCCTCAAAGGTCCCTTCTAGGTTCCAAACAAGACTTTCCTTACACAGCCCACCCAGAGCCTTGGGTCTGCCCACAGCCGGTTGCCTCCAGCTCTCTAGGTTTTGGGGTGACCCTCGAGGCCTCTTTTCAAGGGTAGCTGTGCTCTGCCAAATTCTTCAGAAAGGACAATACAAGGGGTCTGTGGTGGGGTCTCCTTTTGGGATGTCTTAGGAGACCCCATAATTGCATGCCCATGAAGGAGAGGGCCTGTCCTGCCCTTTCTCTCTATCTGAACCATCAGGTCTGTGCTGCAAAGTCTGGTGATGTCACTCTTCGGGTGTTCCTTATTTATTCTGGTGACTACCCTGGGACTGGGAGTAATTATAGCATTCTGTGGAGAGGTGGCCCTCTCGGCACCTTCTAGCCATCCTCCCCAGAACTGCCTTTGATCGAGCTCTTTGTGGGAAAGCAGCCATTAAGAGATGTCTATCTTTGGTTTCATCTGCACGGGAGAAAGGAGAACTAAATTGGCAGTGGAGGCTTCCGTGTTCTCAGAGTGGCCTCCTCCCAAAGCGTGCTGAGCTCTCAGGGACACAGCCCTGTCCCCGCTGCCACAGAGCCACCTGGAGGCCTTCGTCTGCAGTCGGCAGTGGTACTCCAGGCGGAAGGCACCCAAGTGAGGTGCCATCTGCATGGTGCACGTCCCCTGAGATACTCTGCTAAAGTCTTCCGGGAACTCTGGGGAGGTCTCTGAAGTGCTCATACTTATTTAATGAATTATTATTTCATGATTATTTATTTTTCCTGTTATAAAATAAAAGCATATTAACAACACCAGTAAAAATAAAAGTAATCATTACTCATCACCCCATTATGCTAACATAGAATGTTCACAAATTAATTTCTATTATTTTTATTCATTGAAGCTTTTTGTTACAGATAATTGTTTTATGATGCACATTCAAGTGAGCTTTTTTTTTCTTCAGTACATTTTTCTTTTCTTGCTGGAGATTGGACCCCAGGGCCTACTGCACGCAAGGCAAGCACTCCATCACTGAGCCACATCCCCTCTTCAGTACATTTTAAATGACTGTAATACTCCATGGAGTAATAGGTTCGTGTTCATTTAATCATGCATTGTTAGATATTGGAATTTTTAAAGTTATACTATGATGATCACTTTTGTTTATACAGCATTTCCTCCCATTTTGCAATTATTTTTTCTTCCCAGTTAGAAATTTTTTTTGGCCCTAAGTTCTATAAAGTAAATCCTTTGAGTCAAAATAGTGAATCACTTCATGCCTTTGATGTCTATTATCTTGTTGGACAAATTGTTTCCTAAAATGATATTTATTTATATTCCAACTGACAGTGACACAATTTTCACATGGGAGTTCTGGGACTTATTAATTGAAAGTGATCATTTAATAGATGCAAAAGGGTGTCACATTATTCTCTCCCCCTTCCTTTCTTCCCCTTCTTCCTTTTTGTTCCTCTTTATCCCCTGTGCTGGGGATCAAACTCAGGGCTTTGTGCATGTTAGGCAATTGCTGTACTCTGAGCTTCACCTTCAGCCTTTTGCTTCCTTCTTTATGATCTCCTGTGAGGTGGGAGGGTTTTCCTGTGGTCATCGGCCATCCACCATAGCCCGCATGGCTCTGACATGGGGTTCTAGTGGTTCTTGGCCTCCAGCAGACAGTACTGTACAGAGCTCTGGAGTGTGAGATCCTAGGATCAGGCTTTCATCCTGTCCTAGAGACCCTGAGGTTTCAAGTCATCTTCACATTAGACAAGTAACCACTAATTTTCACATTTGAAAAATGAGGAGGTGGACCCCTAAAGTCATTGTCTTGCTCCCTCTTCTAATGGCCTACATCGGTAACTAGCTGATGACAAGGCCTGGGTCTTAAAGGGGGTCTCTGGTATCTTTTTTTTTTTTTTTTGGCATAGTTTGAACTCTCTGTACTTGCCATACCCTCTGTTGCCTGAACCGTCCTCTAGCCTGAGGAGGATGGAGCTGTTGATATGCCATGATTTGGAGAACATCCCAGAGCTGACCTTTTTTATGACCTCTTCCTATGACTGTAGAGAATGCTAAACCTACTTCCATTTAGATACTGTGGACTGTAATAATCCATAGCTCGGTTGATCTGCTTGGCAGAGCTCTGTCATCTGCTTGCCTAAAGGGGTGGGCACATGACCTTCTAGGCCACCAGTGTCCTTTCCTGGAGACAACTGGAGTGTCCTCATACCCAATTTGTGCACAGGGGGAGACATTAGGAGAGGGTGGGATATATCTCAGGGCGCTGAGAGAGACTAAAATGGAGGAGCAATCTGCGTACCCATCCCCTGAAGGGCTTCCTTGTTGCTGCAGTTCTCTGTGCTAATGTCTCTCTTGCATATCCTCAGCAACATGAGCCAGTAAATTCCCTCTTGTGAATTAAGCCAGTCTGATGTGGACTCTAGCTCTTTGTAAATAATCCCCACTAAGGTGTTAGCTGTGAGTGCCTTCTCTCTGTCCATTCCTAACGGGGTCCCCCCACATACATATCTAGTTTTTTGTATCTAAGTTTTCATTTGGAAATACTACAGATTTACAGAAAACTGCAAAGTAGAGCTCCTGTGTCCCTTTCACTGGGACCCTCTCAATAGTGACGTTACATCATTGGATAGCTCAGCATCAAACCCAAGGAATGGATACAACTCCTTTTCTATTTTTGTGAGACTGTCCAGCTGGGTCTAGCGGGTTGTATTAGAGCCTGACCGGTGTGCTCAGGAGTCTTACACTTCGTCGAGGAAGAAAAGTGCAGGCAATTAAGTTGTGTGAGTGTTAGGCCCGGCCAAGTGTAGGGTACTCCCTCCACTCAGTACCCCTATGTTCCAGTACCCTGTGCACCAGGCATTTGTCAGCTTCCGAGTCTCAGAACAGTGCTGCAACTTCGGCAGTGAGAAGGAAACTGAGGCACAGAAAAATTAAATAACTTGCATAAATCACAAAGTTGCTAGGAAACAGAGCTAGAGTTTAAACCCACACGGTGGGTTCTCAGAGCCATCTGCATAGCCATTAGGATACCGTACTAAGAGTTTGCTAAAGTCCGCCTCCGCTTTTCCTCTCAGGCCCTCTACGTTTCACTCCCTGGGGTTCCTGCATTTTCCCAGCTGCCGCCATGTTCACTGTTCTCCCAGGGGCCTGTGCTCCTGCGATGCACTCTGCAGGACGGGCAGCTTCCTCTAAGAAGCAGACAGGGACAGAGGGCAGCGGGGACTCGAAGGGCTTTGGTAGTGGAGGTCTGGAACTCTGGTCCCACTCGCTCCTTAGGGATTGGTTCTTGGTGCTTCCATGCTCTGAAACGACGACGACGGAGGAAAGCAAACCCCCCAGGACCCTGGGAGGCCATGCGCAGCAGAAGTCACCTTTACTCGTCAGGTCAGGGCTTGGGTTCCAGCCGCAGGCGTCGTACGGGGCCGTGGTGGCGGCATGGTGGTGGCAACCATGGTGCCTCACTCTGGGGGTGGGCAGGCAGGGGTGCACTTAGGAGGGCAAGGCTTGGAGCAGGGCTTGGGGGGGCACGGCCGGCGGGCACTCTGGAGGTGGAGGACACTTCTCGCGTGAGCACTTTTCAGAGCAGCCTCGCAGCAGCTTCTTTAAATAGCTGGGCTGGCAGCTGGACTCACACTTCTGTTCACACCTGGGATCACAGTGCTTGGGCTCAGGGGTCTTGGGGTTGCTAGGCTTACTCATATCGTCCGTTGACATTGTTTCTGGATTGTGCAGGCCCTGCCAAGGAATACAAGACAGGTGGTCGGCAGGAAAGGATGCCTTTGGCCTCTTCAAGGCTCCTGCCTGTTCCCTTTCTTAGGCAGCATGCCCATGTGTTCAGGCCCTAGAACTTCTGAGGGAAGAGTTGTACTCACTCTCTGTGGATTTGTGGCAGCGTGTCCTGGTCCCTCCACCTTTACTCTGGCTGCTGGTCTCTTTTCTGTTTCTGTTCTACCAACTCTAGGGCAGCTCTTAACCTAGGGTCCTGGGATGCTCCTCCCCTTCAACAACCCTAAAAACCATTTCAATATAGTTGAGAACATATGGACTTATTAGACATCTACAGAGTATTCCAGCCCTCTATAACAGAGTATACATGCTTTTCTGGAGCGCATGGCATTTTTTTTTTTAAATAGATCACATACTATTCCACAAAGCCTGCTGAAGTAAATATTAATTGAATTAATTGAAATTACCCCATGCATATTATCAGACGATTGAACAATGAAAATAGAAAGCAAATGACAGAAGAAATCACAGAAAAAGTACAAGCTCCTGGAAAACTAACAACACAGTCCTGAACAACCGGTGGGTGACAAGAAATCAAAAAAGAAATTAAAAAATTTCTGGAAGTTACTGATAATGACTGAAAACTCACTGAAACCTCTGGGGGCAGAAAGCAGTTCTAAGAAGAAAGTTCATTGCAATCAGTGTTCACATTAGGAAAATAGAGCAACCACGAATAAATAATTTTTTGAAGGATCTTAAGATACTTGAGAAACAACAACAATCCAGTCCCAAAATGAAATTGAGGGATGTTATAAAGATGAAAGCAGAAATCAATGAAATTGAGGAAAAAAAAGGTATAAAAATATCAATGAGTCAAAGAGTTGGTTCTTTGGAAGAATAAATAAAATAGGTAAGCCCTTGGGCAGACTCATCAAGAGAAAGAAAAGACTCACATCAATGCAATTAGAAATGAAAAAGGTAAAATCCCAACAGACATAACCCTGTACATGATCCTAATAACTTCAATGAATGCAAACTTTATATGCCATGAACATGAACAAAGCTTAATAATATCAACAGGAATGAAAAGGAGAAAAGGAGAATTACAGGAGGAGGGGGAGCAGGAAGGGAAAGGGAAGGGGATTTTAAAAAGAAGCTGTATTATATACATGTACCTACTCCCCAAGATGATTGTGAAACACATGTATTGCAAATGTGTACTAATAAAAAAATGGGAAAAAATACAGTTGATGTTTTCTGTAACCCCAGGTGTTTAGTGCAATTCATTAAAACCATCCATAACTCTGTGAGCCCAGTGCTAAAGGCATCCATGGTCCAGTAAAGGTTCTGAAGAACTCCCACAAGGCTACTTCCCCATCTTTCTAGAGATAAGTGGGTGGTATGTGAGTGGACCCAGGCAATTCTTTTTATCCTGTGGTCTACCTATGCTACCGAAGTCTTGAAAGTTACTTTCTTCTCCTAAGGATGGGGGGCCAGAACGGTAATTAAACCCTGCTATCCATGGGCCAGACTAAACTTCCCCTTCCCTTGCCTCCACTCAGATTCTGCCAAGCATTTAGGGTGAGGGAAAAATCAGGAGAGGAGGAGACAAACTGTGAAAATCGAACTTATCAGAAATGTGCACATTAGAGCCACGAAATACGATTTTCAGAAGGGAGTCCTCTTCTGTTCTGCTGAGTTTTGCTTTGGGCTAGGTTTTTCTCCATGGACAGTTTAGCTGCAGGACATGAAGAGGGCTTTTTAGTCTCTGACATTACCTCAGGGTGGATCTAATTGTCACACCTTTGATTTCCCTTCACAATATAAAAATAAGAATTTTACCTGAGTTTTAAAATCAGCACAGTTCTCTGGGAATGCGGATCATTAAATCAAACTCTCACATTGCTAAGACTATTTTCCAGGGTGAGATGCACACTAGTTCTCGCTACGAAAACAACCGGGAACTTTTAACAAATGCAGCCCTCCTTCCCTGTGTAGTATGTCACTCCCTGGACAGGAAAACTGAAAGAGCAGCATTTCCAGCTGTCCAGATACTGCTCACCCCTTTGAGCTGGTAGTCAGCCTGACAAGTAGCCGAGAGGGTGGACGGCTCAGCTGTGCTGGGAAGGTGGACTTTCCTTCTGGGTCCTTGGTCCAGCTCCGAGGACACCAGGGTGGGGCTCCTCTGTGACATCATCACAGCACCACCAGCAGTGATTGTTGGGTGACACCAAGGCTCCCAGCTCAACTCAGCCCCTTGACATGGGAACTGAGCCATGATAAGTCACTCCCTTGATGGTCTCACCCCTTTCAGAGTCTCTCAGAATTGACGCTGGCAAGATCAGGCCACAGTGAAGATGCCTTTGTGCCAAGAGCTAGAGGCTTGCCTTTGCCCGGAGAGGAGAAGCTGGCTTGCTGTTTACCCTTGCTCTCTGTCCCCTCCACAGCTTCCCGAAGTTTTGACTCCCTGAACTTGCACCTCCACCTTTCTGCAGAGCGCTGGATTGCAGCCACTCTGATACTCCTCTTTTTATCTTTCTAGTATGAGATTCCAAAATCTTCCCTTTACCACACCATACCCCATGGCCCAAAGCCAAGGATTACTTAAGCGCTTTTTCTGATGTCCTTGAAAAATTCAGGTTTTGAGGGGAGCAGTAGGATACAGCAGTCATTTTTTAAATTAAGCCTTGGCCACTCCTTGATATCCAAGGTAAATGTTCTGTATTATAAAGAAAGTCTTATACTCCTGATCATTCCTGATCTGTTGAGCTAACCCAAGATCCTGTCTTAGAATAGAAAAGTTCTCCTCCCAGAGTCCCTCCCTGGCCTTTCCAAAAGCCTGGCCAGTGGGTTTTGTGGTTGGAAAAGGGGTGCATGTGGGTGGTAATGGGAGGGTGGTGTTGGAAGGTAAATGGGGCTTAGCCATAGTGCCTAAACATGGGCCTGGGGATGACATTCACTCACTAATGAGTCTCAAGTGACATTTGATTAAAATTTGAATATGATCGTATCCAACATGTTAAAATTCTGACAGCAAAGTGTGGGATGGATTGGGAGATCGGGTGGTGGAGTGAGAGTAGAATCAACCTATTTCAAAGAACTTCTCAAAATCTTCATGACTGCAGGAAGGCAGTAGTGGTAGAAGAAAGGATGCCAATGAAAGAAACATCATCAGAGAGGTGGATTTATGGGGCTTGGTTACTGACTTTGTAGAAAATTAAGAAAAACTGAAGATGACTCAGATTCAAAGATGGCAACATTACCACTAATGGGAGCTGAAGAGACAGAACAGGTTTGTGTTAGAGCACTAGGGATTGAGTGTGAGAAAACAGAGTGGATACAAAGGCATATCTAGTGTGCTTATTTGTCCTCGGGCCACCGGGAAGACCTGATACCTTGAGTTTATTTCAGTCCAAGATTGTTTACTGAGTGGATGAGCACGAGCGTCCAGAGAAAGACTGGAGAACAGGAAAGAAAAGAGACTGGGGAAGATGAACAGTCCTCATACAGGGTTTCCTTGGCATTCACCATGGATCAAGAGTGCCACATACAGGTAAATCCCAAGTAAGCCTAAACTGGTGGGTGAGCCAGAATTTAACTTCCTAGGATAAATGGTGTTAAAGTCACAGTCCTGGTGTAGACTGCTCCCTTATTTCTTTTCTCTACAGCTTTGTTCATGAGCCATATTTCCCCAAATTTGTTAGGAAGCAATTCCTGCATCCATCTCAGAAGACCCACCTCCACCTGCTGTTCAGCTCTGGACCAAAGCGACCAGTCTGCATCCTTTGTCACAGCAGTGTCCAAAGGTGTGATGATTTCTACTAGCCATTGTCACCTTCCTCTCTCCTTTCTTCTCTTTCCTATTTCTTGCTCCAGAAGCTCCCACTGAATGACAATACAGCATTAGCTGAACTTTCAGCAGAACATAATTTGTTCATCTTCTTCTGGTCTTTAAATCCCTCCTTTCTAAAAGTCTGTGCTCTCAGTGGCATCACATTTACTATCTCAGCTCTCAGCTTCGAGTTGGGGTTTAGGGTTTGGGGGTCAGCTGTTCCAGGATGGACCACAGAACAGGCTTCACAGGTGGCTGGGTCTCAGAAGAGGGGTTGGAAAGGGAGATGAGTGTCAGAGCCTGGCTTGGATCAAGGGTTAAGAATTTGGACCCCAGTGTCTAGTTCCTGGGTTCAAATCTTGCTTGGACCCTTACTTAACCATTCTACAAGTCTCAGTTCTCTCAGCTATATAATGATATACTAGTAACACATGTGTTAGGATCATATCTAACTTGTGTTAAGTGCATATAACATGCCAGACACATTTTGAAGTGCAAAATCTATGCTATCCCCTATTGCACTGCTTCCAGTATTCTTAAAATAGAGATGTTATGTGTGAAGAACCTCTAAGAAATGTTTGCTGTGTATGTTAGTTATCAGTTTTGTTAGTGTTGGCTTGAATTCTTCATCCCTTGTCTTGTTGGTATGCTCTCCCTCTCCGTCTTTCTTATTTTCTGATCTTGGTCCTAAAATCCCTCTTCTACAATATTTTCCTTGGAATTTTCTCCATATCATTTTCTCCTCTGCCTTCCAGCTAAAGTTCCTGATGGTGTTCATGGAAAGGTTATATATTTCAATATTAACTATTAATGGATGACTTCAGTTTTGAAAAGGGAGGGTTGATGTAAATGTTACTGATAAAGATAGTAATTTGAACATTAAGAGTCATCAGACCATTCAGCCATTCTCTGTGAATACCTGCATTGCCCTGCATGTCAATATTATTTTACCAGCCTTACAAGATTCTGAGTATCAGCAATTTTTCCTTTATTGAGTTGTCCATTTCTGTTTTTTTTTTTTTTTTGGAGGGATTGCATTTTCTGTCTTTTTCTATTCTCTACAAAACTCTTGTTGACTAAGTAGAATTTAAGGGGTCAAGTCAGAAAACAACTCCATTCCTTTCATTGAAGCCTCTTATACTCTGTCTGTGGGGTTAGCTGTCCTTTTCCTCTTGCGATGAAATCTGCAGCAGCTGTCATTGACTTTTAGGTTCATGCTAAACAATAAGAAATTCTCTAATCACTTGCTATTACATGAACAATCTTATTTCCCTAATTGAAAGATAGATATTTCCCATATGTCGGATTTCCTTTTCTTTCCTCCTGTGGCTACTCCTGGAGGAGGCCTCAGTGGAAAGGAGGGGCATCTTCTTTGTGTGCTGCTTGGGTTTCTACGGCCTTTCTCTTCTCACCCAGCTGTCTTGTCCTTTGGGCCTTTGGGGTGATAGAGGGAGGAGAGAGAAAAAACTAGAACTTTCCGTGCTGACATAGGACCTTTCTGGGCTTGGGAGGTGCTTAAAACTCATTTTTCTCTCGTGAGGAACTTGAATGAATTCATTAGGGAAACCCAACTCCCTTGCCTGGGGTTTTGATCGTAGTTCTTTAGCCGCAGAAACATGTTTTCTAGCTGCTTGTGGCTTCTGCAGTGCCTGGGCATTTATGAAGGCCCCTGGGACAGGATTTTAAACAGCCTGGGCTGTTGACCAGCTCCCCTTCCCCTATATGAGGCCCATGGGACTTTACTGCAGTTTTTGAGGCTATGATGTCATTTTTTCCCCCATAATTGGGACTGAATCCAGGGCCTTCACACTGAGCTACATCCTGAGCTCTTTTTAAAATTTTTATTTTGAGACAAGTCTTGCTGAGTTACTAGGCTGCTAGTTTGGGCTTGAATTTGGGTCCCTTCTGCCTCTGCCTCCCAGAGTGCTAAGATTACAGGGATGTGCCACCATGCTGGCCTTGTGTCTTTTGTGCCCATCGTCCTCTGTGTGCTTTCCCTGCCTCATCTCCTCTCCTCCCTGAGCATTTCCTCTTCTGCTGAATTTAAAAGTGACCCACCTCTTTTTTTATTACTGTCTTATTTTCACATTCTAGACATAACTGCAAAACCTCTGTGCACGCCTCCCGGCCCCTCCTCACTGTAGCCAAGAGATCCCATCTCTGAACATCTCCAGCATGCTCCCCACCAGTCTCTCCTCACTGGAATGAAATACTTGACATCCACAACTTAAAGGGGAAGGTTTACTTCGGGTTACTGTTTCAGTCCCTGGTCATCTGGCTCCAAGGCAGAAGTGGCAGGCATGGTGGAAGGGTCTGGTGGAGGAGAGCTGCTCCTGTCACGGCAGCCAAGAAGCAGGAATGAAGGGAAGAGTCTGGGAAGGTGATACACCCTTTCAGTCATGCCCCGGTGACCGGACCCCCCTCCCAACAGGAAGTCAGCTTTAGTGCCCCCAGATCTGCTCACTTGCTAAAAGCCACAGGAGGCTTTGGAAGAGGAGACGTCGTAGATCCAAACCATAACAGGCCCTATACATGTGTCTTCTGTCTCACATATTGCCCTACTTCAGGGCTCTCTTACTATTTTTTGCACTTGATCTTAGCCAAAAGGCTGAGAAGCAATTCTTACTATCTTTTGCATCTTTAGGGTGGGCCCAGGGCTTAATAGGTCAGAGATGATAATGAATTTTTATTTTCTGGTACTGGGGATTGAACTCAGGACCTTGCGCTGGCAAGGCTGGTGCGGTGCCATTGAGCTAAATCCCCGGCTCAATGAGTGTTGAGGAACACATGAATGGATTACAAGACAAAATCTATCATACCAGTTAAGTCTCAAATAAGGTTTCAGAGAAGGGAGGCCTCAGTTCATGCAGGTGGAGATCTGTCTTTAAAGGTCAGCTTCCATTACCAGTGTACGTGTATCAGGCCTAGAGGACCCTGGAGGAGGAGGTACTGTTGGACCTTGTGAACTAGGAATCACAGATCACTCTGGATTTGTCTAACATACAGGCTCGTCTGACCCAGGGTTCCAAGCAGAGGCAGACTCGCATATCAGGCATCCATCCTGAATCTCAACCTCCTCCTCTTGGAGCTGTGCCTCACTTGCCCTGAATGTCCACTTCACTCTCCAGATGCTTGCCATTTTCTGCCTGGTGAGACCTGCTTCAGCAGCAGGCAGGGAGAAACATGATCTTGGGTGCGAAAGGGAAGCGCCTGGCCCAGGGGACTGTGGGTGGCGTTTCATGGGTAGAAGGGAGTGATTCTCTTCAGGGAGCTCCGACTTTCCTCCCCTTGACCCATATTCCACTTCGGGACATATCCTAG